ATCGTGCATTATTAAATATAACATAGGCCTGCTCGTAGTCCCTTGCGTTTGTGACGTTCACTCCATAATATAATTCTAAACATCAGCGTCCATAGGCCTGCTATTAAAATCTTTAAGCTTTAGACGGAGCTTTTTTCAGAGATGGTGGCACCCCTGCTTCGTATTCGTGAGTTTCCGGTTAAGGCCCTATCCCAGATACCGGCTATCCTCACTGAGGATTTAGTTGTTTTCCTCAGCCCCTCGAAAATATATTAAATTAGACAACATCATCTTCCTTTAATATCCTTTCCACTTCAGTATTCACGAATCGTTGTTCATTCTACGCTGTATGGACGGAGTTATTGACGGTGTAGTTAAATAAATCATGAAAATAATAAGAATGATCGGGTTTCGATCGCTGGTGGGGACAATATATTTTTCCCCGTCTTCTGCGTCCAGGTCGGCTTTTGGGCCCACCGAGCCTCCTGTTTCGTAGGGACCGTGGGCACTTACCCCCGGGGTAAAGAGGACGCAGCGTGACGCTAACCACTTATCTCTACATATTCCTGATGTCAGGAATAACTGGAGCGGTAATTCTAGTCACAACACGTCTTCATGATGTGGTGCTTAATAAGTACCAGGGCATCTTCACTCAGCAACACGGAGTTTTCCTCCGGGGGCTTCCCCGGTTCCTCCGTGGCATCCCAACAATTACTCCATTCACACACAGAAGAAGGCAATGGCAAACCACTTCTGGATCATCTGCCAAGAACGTATATGAACAGGGCCCAGTCCGAGAAAAAGGCCGTGGCCTAGGCAACACGGAGTTTTCCTCATTGGCATCCCAACAATTACTCCATTCACACACAGACGAAGGCAATGGCAAACCACTTCTGGATCATCTGCCAAGAACGTATATGAACAGGTCCCAGTCCGAGAAAAGGATGGAAGGATCCTGTTCATATGGACCTGTCGTCAGACAGAACACTAAATAAATAAAATAATACTACAGGCAAAACAAGAATATAAAAATAATACAAATCCGTGCATCGACGTCTAATTCGAACCTGATGATAGCCATATTTGGCTGAAACATAACTTATATGCTTTCTAAAATATAAGGAGAACCAGTTCCATAAAATGGAGTCATTTTACAGAACACAATATTTACTGAGCACCTGCTCGAAAAATGTTTCGCCTTTTATGTGTCACGAAGTTGTTAGCGTATGCATACGAGATCGCTGCTGTAATTTTCCGTAGCGAGAACAACCCAGTTCATATCCTCACACCATACTTTCCTGAGACAGATCTTATGATTGTCGTTCCATCTACACCTAGGTTTTCCAAGTGGTCTTTTCCCTGTAGGTTTACCGATTCAGACGTAGAACAGCCCACTTAAAATAACAATATTGATAATATTAATATAAGCCTCAAATTTTTTCATATAATAACAGGAAGTTCTTCGAAGAAGGCTGTCTTCTGAGTTGTTGCGCCGTTTAATCTGGTAGACGTTTACCGGTGTTTCAGAGGTTCTTGCTGCCTCCAACATCAGGATGTTGAGTCACCGCCGTGAAAGCCTCAAATCCTACTTATAATGTTTTTCCTTGCGCCAAAGACACTAATGTAATTCAGCATACGGTTAATTAGATGCAGTTGTGTGTGTGTAAATTATGATTATATAATTTCTACTAGTGTGAAGAATTAACATCATTCCTATTCTGGAGGAGATCATTAAAATCGGATCGCATTACATGTTTTATGAAGTTTTATGCCTAAAAATGCTCCTTTCTTAAGAATCGGAAGTTTAATAATTAATATTTTATTTTAGTATTCTGTAGATTCTTATGCCCTTTTGCTTGAAACCTCGGGTTTGTATTAACTAAAAAAAATTTTACGACGCAGAAAACTGATGCCCCTCCCTGCTAATCAATTTATGACATGACAAGGCGATTATTAACTTTACATAAACTGTGATATGGAATTACATAACTAGTTGCTTTTGGCTTCCTGCCCACACAGTATTTTTCCTATAATTTTTCTACTGCGCATCGAATCTCCACAACCAGAAAGTACAAACGTTGTTTTAGTTGGCGATCATGAAAGTTCATTTCCCTTTACAGTGACTTCTGAACGCAAAGAAAAAAGCGAAGATTCCATATCGACATACATTAACGCGTTAGCAAAGGACGTTTCTCGTTCAACAGAAAGTTAACATTTTTAAACACTTTATTATGTATTCTTAAACATAGATTCTGGTCTCTCGGTCGTAGCATCGTGTGGATTTCTAAGTAGACACGAACGTTAAGGGGGAACATACCGCCTCCATCTTATTGTTGAAATTTAAGCAGAAGACTAACATTGACGTCTTCATCGCCATGAGAACCTCATTTCTCATGCTGTTCTCAGACGACTTCCGTTTCTATAGAATTCAGTTTTATTCAAAGATGGCTGTCTTTTGGGTTGTAGTTGCCTCATCAGGGCGATGAGTACTCATTGCCTGAATGATGATGACAGCAAGTACCTCTGAAACGTCGGTAAACTTCTGCCAGACAACACGGCGCTACAACCCAGAAGCCAGCATTGTAGTGGCCTCCGTGAAAGCCTCAAATCCTATGATGCAGCGTTTTCTGTTGAACTCTTCAGGAAACTACACAGTTACTAAAATGGAGCAGCTGTTCCTATCTCAGACACGCAGTACATTAAGAATGGAAACCTTCGAAATATGCGTTTCATGCTTTCGCTGTGTGGCAATGGTTCAGCTACATATTTTTGCAAACGACTTTTTTTTACTACTGTAGCAGAGTCCTTCAGATGATAAAAGCCACTCAACCACATTTCTTTATAATTTACACGCCATTCATTTCTGAACATTCGATTTAAATAAAACCCTACACCAAAATAATATTCCGGCCGCCTTGACTGAAAGCTATGGATCTATTTGTATTTGCACATTATCACCAAAACGTTGCGCTGCTGTTTATATTCCGGCAACTTTAAAACATCGGACAGTACAAAAGATATTTCGGCAGGTATTAAGTTATACGCATATTTATATATATATATATATATATGTAGACTTATAGAGGAGCCCAGGGCAGAACGGGGAACTTAATCTTTGGAGGCATGTGGAAGGGACAATAATAAAGACAAACACACGGAGGAACCCTGTGTGGATTAATTGTCTATTTGAAATTTATAACGAGTTATTAGTTTAGTTCTAAGAGCTACAGTTTTTTTTTAAATATGAATTTCTGCCCCGTTCTACCCTGGGCTCCCCTATATTTATAAAACGTCTCGAAAGAGACTTAACAATATATGACGTTATATACAAGTGTCGTTTAAACCGATTGGGCTGAATCTAACGTAAAAACGAATAAATATGTTTTCAAGACGAAATGTAGGCATGTAGGACTAAAGCGTAATGTACTGTCTTGTGATATTTCATTTCAGATACAAGTAAAACAACATTTATAAATTAACAATGAAAAAATTACATACTCCAAACGTTCTAATTTAAATATATGACAATTGGTACAGTTGGGCTGTCCTACACTAGACGCAGCAAAATTCCATAGAGTATGTTGGGTACCTGAATTTATTAATCAAACAAATAAAACCAGATTTTCCGCATGGCTCTCCTGTCGCGAGGGGATGAGGGGTGGGCAGAGACATTGTTTGTGAGGTTCTGTTTGTTGGTATTTCTAGCTAAGATGTCATAATGGTCAGTTTCTTAGAAACCATAATTGGAATCGATGAGAGTGTATAACGTTGCAAGTGAGGCAGAAAACACGTATCTTACATTGGACTTAATTGGTTCCATAGTGATTGTGACGCTGCAGCCAAGATTTCGCTATAACAAAGCTCGATACAAAATTATACAGAATGTCCCAGGAAAGATGTCTACACAGAAACATTACACACGTCAGCATCTTTCGGAGACACTCTGTATTTGTGAGATGGCATTCGGATTAAGTGAATTAATAATCCAAGTCTCGGTTAACTTTGGCTTTCGGGATTGAGTCGCGTGACATATTAAGAATTACCCAACGTTTCGGCAAACACTCCAGTTGATATCTTCGCAGTGAACGTCTAGTGATGGGCGTTTTTGGAAGGCCCACCGTCACCAAATGACCGAAGTGAGGCACTTAGAACCTACGAGCGAGGAACAGTCTAGGTCCAGTGTGTCTTTGTCGAGACCCCTCAAGG